TTTTTTTGGTCACGATCTACTAAAAATATACTTCACCTTTGAGGATCGACTTTTATAGAAAAATTTTTTATTATTGAATAAGTGCATATAAACATACAATAAGTATTATTAACTAATTACTAATTACTAAAAATAATATAATAATAAATAATAATTTCTAAAATCTAATTAGATAAGTTTAATTAACATATTATTTTGTTGATTTGGACATTGTTGAAGTGTAACATTGCATGTCGTTGACCAATTGGTCGTAATCTGGCGAATAGTTGCTAACTGCTAATCGAAGACACTGCTCCAAATGGTCATCAGAGAGCGTAGATCGAAATTCTGTTTTTATCATTTTCATGTGAGAAAATGCTGTTTCGCACAAATATGTAGATCCAAAATAACTATGTATCTGCAAAGCTACATTCCTCAAACCCGGATATTTTTCTTCACTCAGTAAATTCCAAAATTTTGTTTCAGAACCTCGAGCTTTGAGGAATATATCTGATTTAATTTTTATAATTTCAGATTCAAATTTTGTAGAATCCATATCAAAGAAATTGCTTATTTGTGTAGAAATATTTTCAATATTGTTTGTTTCGGAGAAAGGAAAAGACATACATGTAATAATCGGCTCTAATTTTTGAATATCTTTAAATCGTCTTTCAAATTCATTGTACACTTTTTCAACCTCAGAGCAATATATTTCCACTGCCACTGTACATTTTTGCTTTTTAAAAAAATCTTTTAAGTTTGGAAAATTATTCAATTTAGATTCATTTAATTGTGACTTGAATAATATCAATTTTGATTTAAACCCATTTATAGAACTCAATAACTCAATTATTGTCCCATCTTTTCCTTGAAGTTCAACATTTAAAGTGTTTAAATGAGCCGTTATATCTGTTAAAAAAGCTAAGTTCTGAAGCCATGTATTGTTTGTTAAACAATCATAATTATCGCCTCTGGATTTTAAAAACTCTATTATTTCAGGAAGTAAACACTGAAACCTTTCTAGAAATTTACCACGGCTCAACCATCTAACATCCGTATGTAGTAATAAATCACAATGCTGAGAATCGTTTTCTTCTAATTGTAATTTAAAAAGTTGCCTTTGCAAGCTTCGTGAACGTATAGAATTGGCTATTTTAAAAGCAATGTCCATTATACTACTTGTATTCAATATTTTTCCACACAATGCTTGTTGATGAATCACACAATGGAACGTTATAAAATTTGGAAAATTATTATCATTCTTACACAAAGCAATAAAACCATTATTTTTACCTATCATAGCTGGAGCCCCATCAGTCGTAATACAAACTAATTTATACAAAGATAAATTTGATTTATTGACGAAATTAATAAAAGCTTGATAAATATCCACACCTCGTGTCGTACTTTTCATAGGGATTATAGTTAATAATTCTTCTTTTGAATTAAAATTTGAAAAAAACTAGTCGTATAAATATACATAGTTGAGCGGCATCTGTTATGTCTGTTGATTCATCGAATTGAAGTGAAAAATAAACACATTCTTTGATGTCTTGTTTTAATATTTCAACTAAATTTTGTCCTATAGATTCTACTCTTCTAGTCACAGTTTTACGAGATAACTGTAAATCGTTTATAGCTGATAAAATTTCTGATTTATTTTTAAAGTTTTCAAATAAAGCATCTGCGCCTTCTAAAAAAGCTTGTTTTACTATTTCACCGGTTTGAAATGATTTTTTATTCTTAGCTAAAACATGACTAATTCGAAATGAAGCAATTGTTGCTGCTTTGGATTTTAAAACTGGTTTAGTAAAAATCAATTGTTGTTTATCAATTTCAAGTTTTAATTTTTCTAATTGCTTTTTACGTACTTCAGTTTTAGGAGGGAAATCTATATCAAATTTTGAATGCGTAGTTCTAAAATGTCTTTCTAGATTACTTTTTTTGTTGTGGATATTGTTATTTGACATATCAAACATATGCACTTGTCTTTCAACATTGTAAAAAAAAAATCCATTTCCCATTCTTGATGAAAATGATAAGTTTTTTGTTTTTTATGTGCACTCATAATTATAAATTTTAAATACAACAGACACCAACAGAACACAGAACAACAGAACACAGTGAAATGAACATTCGTGACCGATAAACATTTGACACACGAAACCAGATTAAAATTAAACAGATAAAACTTATCGACAATTCGATAACAATTCGTGCGCGTGTCCCTAAAAATAAATTCTAACATGATCGACTTTGAAATTGTCCGCGATCGACCGTTTGGCCGCCCCTGGTATATAGTGATTAATTAATTATTATAGTAACTATAAAGTATTAATTTTATTCATCTGTTCAATGAGTCATAGATAAATCTTCAGAATCCAAATTAGTCTGTAACATAATATAAAAGATTTATTCGTTTAAATTTTAAGAAGTCGTCTACTTATAGTTATTATTACATACCTATAAAGTATAATGTATGATAACTTTGAAAGTTAATAATCTACAAAGAATAAAGTTACTATTTTATTTTAACGTACGATGACAGTAAAAAATGAGATATGTGAACAATTATAAGTGCCAAGTAGGTTTGTAATGTACCTAAAATAAAATGTAAAAAATTCGTCTTGCTGTCTAGATAGGTATATTAAATATGCTGAATGTATATCGCCATTGAACAGATAATGGTGTATTCATTGGGAAATGTATTATTTGATTTTAAATCGGTATTGGTGAGTTTCGACCCAGTTCCAAAATAACGTACGAGTTTATGAGAGATTTGTACGAATTGCGGCCCTGGTTCATGAGAGGTACGTACGAATTGCGGCCATACAATAAAATGTATATATACGTGGCAGTGGAATGTAAGAGTATTTGAAGAAATTGCTTCATGTTTGAAATAGAAGGGTTAGTAGCCAAGTCCGGATGGGTGTATGATTGTAAGATTTCAACATAAATATTATGAAAAATATTATAATTAATATAATATAATATAATAATATGCTATTATGCGACCAAGTCACTGTGCCGACATTCGTGTGTTGTTGTAGTTATTTTAGTTTTGTTTTATCATATCTAACAAAAGATAACACATTTTTAAGTTTAGTTTAAGTATAAATGTATGTCACTAATATATTAATTTAAATTAAAAACTTTATTAGTAATATAATATAATGAATAATGATAATAATACAATTTTAAATAAATATAATATTTAATGTACATTTTTTTAGAATGGTAATTTGCGTTAAATTTTTAATTATTTTAAGCTGTTGTAAGGAATTTTATTGTTTTTATTTATTTATAATTTAAATTTTAAAATGTGTGAAAAAAATTGATTCTCATTGAGGTGGTCCGTAACGTATCGAGAGTTCTCAAAGTGGTCTGTAGTAGCAAAAAGGTTGGGAATCAATGATCTATATCATATAAAAATATAACTTCCAATATACATAGCGATTTTTTCATTTATAGTTATGTATATATAACTTAGGTAAGATATTGTCGGGCTGCAACTAACTTATATCTTAAATATTACCGGACCGCAATTCACCGGTCACCAACGCCGGAAACAAGTTGGGCCTCAACTTACCCTGAGCCAATTGAATGATAAATCAATGCAAGGGAAAAACTTTCTGTTCAATTAAAGTCTTCTATCTACATGTATTAAAGATATTTTATAATGCGTATATTTAAATTGCAATTAGTAATAAATATCTTAATCAATAAATTAATAATCCGGTAAGTTGAACATATTGTAACAAGGTCGGACTGTTCGGACCGGGTGCAATACAATTTCGAACGTTTTACCTTTTTTATAACACGATTGTAAACAAATATAACTTATCAAAAAATTTGTGAAAAAACCAATGATTGAAAAAGTTTTTATAGGTTACGCTGCCAATTTTATAATTTCTGAATATGTTTAATTTTGTTTGGGAATTCAATTATATTTTATTTTTTTTTTTAATAAAAACTATTCGATACTAATAAGTAATAATACAATGTCACGTTATAGCTACATTAAAAACTAAAATAAAATTATACAACATAATATGAAGTGTTTAAAATGTTGGATAATTAAAACAATTTTGAAGTATAAATATTAATAATACTGTTATAAAATATACAAACTAAAAAAATTAAAAATAATAGTTTTTAAAAAGTTTTTCTATATTTTTTCTTTCTTTTTTTAAAATTTTATCTTAGTTAGGAATTTCCAGTTTTTTTGTAAATATAAAATTAGATCTTTGTGGATTTTTTTAATGTTGATCTAACTTTAGATTCATCTTCTTTAGCCATAGAATTATGTAAATTGTTTTGATAGCGCAATAGCAGAAAATTCTTATACCGAATATTAAATTATTTTAAAATTTATGATTTAAAAATTTGTAATTAACTAACACCTAATCTGGCATAACCGTACGATTAAAGGTAAGTTTAAGCGTTCACAATCGTGTTCCCGAAAAAGGTCCTTCGCAACGGCGTAAACACACACACCAATTAATAAAGTTATTACTTATTAATATTATTTTTAATTTGAAACGATAATAATGGTCGCCAAAACCCCGGAACTATACAAAAATAGATTCTACAATATCAATATACCAATATAGTACATAACGACCAGCACGCACGCCGGACTCTACTCGTTAACCTTCCAGTAGGCGCGCCATTGTTTGAAACAAGAGTAGTCGCGTGTTGTAAATTTTACAACAGTTCTAATATGCTGTGATAGTCGTACATATTATATCTAATAATAAAATAAACAATAGGTAGGTTCACAAAGTTGTTTTTATTTAATTATTATTATAATTATGTTTTATTAAAAATCAATACGTCTTATTATTATTACAAAAATTAAAATTATCTTAATACATAAAAATTAATATTTACTAATTATTACATAAAAATTAAAATTATTTTATATTTGTTTACAGTAAGAAATTATTCAAACTGTCATTGTCATTGTTATTAGAACACTTTTCACAAATAATAATTTTTTTGAATGTAGCTTACATACAAATCGCATACACTTGGTGCATTTCATAGATGAAGTCGCATTTTTCCACATTCAAACATGTTCCTGTTTTAAGGGGGTTGTAGATGAATCTGATGTACTTGGAAACAGCATATTTTATTTTCAAAAGATGATATGTCCGATGGTAAACTTGTGATTTGAGCTCGAGAAGCAAATGTTCCTTCATTAGATCAAATGCCAATGTTTTCAAAAATAATCTTCATTTTAGGAGCATTGTTATGTTTAGAGTATGAAACAGTACCAATGAGATTCCAATATTCATCAAAGAATAAAATAAAGTCAATTTTGTAATTCTAGAGACTCGAATATGCCTGCAACATTTTATCATTGTATCAACTCCACCTTGGTACAATTATAATCCATAATTATTTCGTTTACGAGTTTCATCAATTTTAAATCATGGTATAGTTGAAAGCAAAATAACTGCCTTGTTTTTCGAGGCACGGCGAGCAATACGCAACTGAACGAAGTACAACAAG